GTTTACAGCTCTCTTTGCGTTGCACTTCGTGACGAAGTATCTTTCTACGAATGTTACTATTGAATTTTGTATTTAATTTTAATTATTTACGCGGTTTTTATAGATTTTTAATAGATTAATTGTCACTCCACACGCAGAACAATAAGCGCGATACTTAAGAAAGAAATAGAGAATGACTTTACGATGAATTATATATTATGTGTTATGTATAATTAGGTATAATTATACATGATAGGTATAATTATATAAATTAAGGTATAATTATATAAATATATGTAATTATGTATATATAATTAGGTATAAGTATATATAAAAGAAAGTATATATTTAAGAAAGAAATAAGAATGACTTTACGATGAATTATATTTTATATATTATGTATAATTATCTATAATTATATATAAATATATATAATTATGTATATATAATTATGTATAAGTATATATTACGTATATATTTTATTTCGTTTACTTAAGTGGAGAAAGATTATAGAACGTCAAAATTAAGAATATTTTCGTGAATGTTTTTTGAAGAATGTACTTATCCAATCACTTCCCAACTTTGTAGTGTTTTTGCTTGTATAAATAAAATATTAAAGAAATATATTTAAGTTAAGAATAATGTTTATACATTGTACGTACTGAAAGAAATGTTGAGCATCGTGGCAGAGTCGGCACAAAACGGTGTCTATTTTGGATCCTGTTGAATTTGTCTGAAACCAAAATAGGGCAACATTCTTTTGCTTTTTATGGACATAATTTGTCGATGAACTTAAACAAGTTGAAAAAATTTTTTATAATTGACAAAAAAGCAGCTCCTGATTCAAAAGTTTGATTTGTGATTATAGAAATCCATTTCTGTGTGCGCAAAAGTATTGTTTAAATAAATAATGTTATGGACTCGTAGGTCCTTCAACTAATGAATATAATAAACTAAATGTACATAAAAGGATAATTCTGTTGGTCAAATCGTTATTGAATTATCTTGCATCCTAGTTTCAAAGAAATCTTTTCGGGAAAAACACGTTTAAAATTTCAAGAAAAACGCGTTTAAAGGTATAAAAAATTATAAACTTACAGTCGTTTTCTGCTAATTCCGCTACTCCTGTCCCATACAGTAAACCTTCCGCTTCTTCAAACAAGTCATTTTACTCAAGTTGGTATTGTTTATTTGCTATTCGAGACTCTTTACTGCGACGTAGGCTACGGCGCGCCTGTCGTTTTATTGGCTGGGCGTCCTTATTATCAGCACATAACATTTATAGAAGTCCAATTTTAATATCTAATGTTTTCATTTCTTTGCGTCCACTTAAGCACCTCCTTAATAGATCTTTGTTAAAATAGTTTGGTACATTTTTTCTAACGTGTTTTTCGGAACAAAGCCGTTGCGAGTCACACCTCGCTCAGACATCGCTTTACGCGCTCGCACTTGCGTGCGAGTAACGGATCTGTACGACCATTTCGATTTTGAATTTCAAAACTAAACTCTGGAAATATATTCTATACATAATATATTCTATACATAATACTATATTCTATACATGAACTAAAAAATTCGATTTTTGTAACCCTCTATAGTGCTTTACCCTTTTAAGGTAAATGAAATACTAATATCATGTCTTTTGATGAATCTCGATTATGAATTGCAATCCTATGCAGTATACTTCCGAACAAGACTGTTTTGTACGATATACAGCTGCAATTCTCATTAAAGCATTTTATCTAAGTTGATAACTTTTCAGAGAAATTTGTGTTTATATATGTACTTACATTTTAACAAACATATAGTTAATATTTAGGTGATAAAACATCACATAAATGGAGAAAAAATTTCTCTTTCTCTCCATCTCATTTTGAAAGTCTTAAAAAGCATCACACTATACGCATACTGCGATCATATAATGAATATTCCCGTCTATGCACGCGCTCGTCCATAACTAGACATACAAAAAAGGGCGTGAACGCACAGAAAGCGCTGAAATATCTTGGTGTTGTCCGACGACAAGTGTGAAACCGGAAATATTTTTATTGACAAGCGGCGACCGATAAAGAGCTAGTCCTTTCAGACCCTGAAGTTCATATTAATAATCGTTATTTGTAAATTTATCTCAAGTTGAGGCGGTATTCCTTTTAGCATTGGATTGTCGATATCAATCGCCGTAATGTTTATAGCTGGAGAGACTAAAATTTCAATTTATATATGAGCATAAACTGAAAATCTCAGCTTGTTTACAGTAGGGTTGGAACGAAAATGTCTATCCTGATATGCAGAACATGAAGTTCGGAGTAGGAAGTAAGATAAGGGTTTCCGAAGAATGTGTTCTGCAACTATGATATTGTTACATCGGGATGTTACGTCCTGGTAGAGAACGCAACACGACGTAAGGCCTCGATCGTACTAGCAGGTCGAGTTACGAGTCAGCGACCAGAAGGATCTCTTTACGCGTGTATCAACGTACGACGAGTGGTGCTTTTTCGATCAGAGAACTGAATCTCTTTATCGCGGACGGACCGAGAGCGGATAAGAGAAATGAAGGGGGAAAAGGGAAGGATTCGAAAAGAAATTGTGATATAATTTGAATTGGAATTTAGATAATTCTTAACGATTACATTTATTTTCCTCGCGGGGTTGTTACAATTTTTATTAACTACTAGCACGGAGACAAAGTACGCGCGTGTGTGTGTGTGTGTGTGTGTGTGTGTGTGTGTGGGTGAAGGTGAGCATTAATGCTCAGGATCATTGGGAGGTGAAGAGGGTGAAAAGTAGGTCGTGGGGGAAGATGGAGGAATAGGTGGAGGTGCTGGACGAGGAGGCAGATTTTGAGAAGAAAAAAAGGAAAACCGCCAAGTGGGATGGGAAGGGTGGTAGGTTTTTTGCTGATCCAGGGGTCTAGGTAGCGACCTGTGCGTAATCCGGGACAAATACTGTACGCGAGCTACCCGGAGTTAAAGTTTTGATATTGAGGGGAAGAAAACGAGTAACTAAACGATAACTTACTGTTGATGTGCGACTTGGAGGAGAGAGTAACTGTTGCTGGATTTCTCAGTCGGGCCCCCTTCGATCCTCGTTTAAATAGAACCTGGTATTTGTGTGTGAGGGTTGCGGACGATCGCACGATGAATACAGCAATAAGCACAGAGAGTTGAGTAGCTGAACTCTTAGGGTACTTGGATTTTCCTTAGTGGTAGTAGAAGTGTATAAGTGACCCGCGGTGCGCGGAGTCGCGATTATATACGATATCAACTAGAAATGGTTTGGTAGGGAAGATGTGGAAATTTGGGAGGTCCTAGGTTGTTGGATTCGTCAGAGAAAATGGTATGGGGGACTGTTGTATCCAGTAGTAAGTAAGTAGACAGTGTTAAGGAAATCTTCTTGGCTGGGGTTGTGGGTGGAGAAAATCATACATTTCAAAAGAGAAGGTTATTGGAGGATTTTTAAGGTGGTGAGGGAATCAACAGATGAGGCGGAACCGGATAACGTAAGTTAGAAAATGTAACGGACATAATTTTTTGTTATCCAGCGGTTCCTTTTGATCCCAAGGATAAGGTCCAGCGAAATTTACTTTGCGGATTAAGGAGTTTTAGTGCTGTATTTCCCAAGGTTATTTCGGAATTTTAGTCGGAATTTTTATTGGGGAAAGACGAAAAACGGTCTTACGATTCGGAATTGTTTGTTGTTTCCCAACAGAGGAGGCAAAGATAGAGTGCATGAGTCATGTCTGCACAGGACGTAACAATATATAGATAAACCTATTACTATTATAATACTCATGTAATACTCATCTGATTTCCTGAAATCACATGAGCAATTTTACCAGTAATTAAAATAAATATCGTCCATGGTATTCATTTGTATAATAATTAAATATGTACTTCAAATATTTTTTCACTATCGATACTGTTGATACTATGGCCTTCTGGTAATCTAGCATTAAAGCATTTTATCTTTGTTCTGCTATAGAAATAGTAAGACTATTTTGAATAGTAGAACTACATTGAGCTTCTCCACTCATATGCTACTTGAGTAGCATCTATGTATTTATGTACCACATGTATGGTAATAGTCTGTACGATATATTGCTTTGATCAAAAAATATTGTGAACGGTTCATTTAAACTGCGCGCGTGCAAAATATTTTTGTTTTCTCACCAGATTGGTACGACTTTCATCGATATCTAGCTGCAATCCGTATGCCATTGTCTGTTTTCATTTGCAAATAAACGCTTGTGTGTGTGTGTAAAGCAGTGCTGGTATTTCGCGAGATTTTCTTCGCGTGATATAACGTAACTGTCTGCTATTGGCTATCGCACCATCTACATATGCGCAGAAGGCCTCCTGACGCAGAGGAAATCTCGCGAACTGCCAAAACGGGTACCAAGAATTTTTGCTCCGGCGATTAATTTTATTTTAATTTGTGTTTCAGAGACTTACTTATGGATTGTCTGCACGTTCCGGATTCTAATAATTTTATTGACTCATCTATTAATTCTCTGATCGTAACGGATGCTGGTTATTCGAAACATACGCTCGAAAGTATAAAGTACACACCAGAGATCGTCTCTTTACCAGAAGAATGTAAACATCACATTACGAGAGAAAATGAGACAAACAAGGAGACGCAGCAAGAGTATTATTACGTGAAGGAAGTCATAAGAAAACAGAATCTCAATGAGGAAGGAATTGTCATAATAAGCATGGATTATTTTTGTGAGCCCTCAAAGTTTATTGAACATTCCATATAGAAGATTAGCATAGAAAAGCATAACAGAAAGTACAATTACTCACAGCAAATTATATTATCACGACGAGATGTCTTATGAACTGTCGTTTACCTGTCCGTACAAGATAAACAGAAAGGACAGCTTGAATAAATACATGAAACGGATGCACGAGATTACCTACGATGGATATGTTCCATTTAACGCTTGCAACGATGCGAGCCTCATTCTTTCTATGTTTAATATTTAATGAGTAACATAAATAAAATGACGCTCGCGTCGTTGCGAGTGTTAAGTAGAACGCGGCCGATTACGAGTGTGACATATATGCGTCAAGAAGTTCAGTACGACTTTTGATCTGAAGCGGCATAAGGTTGTGATCCATATTGACAGGTATGTGTTAAATTGTGACAAGTGTGCTTACGTTAGCAAGGGCTAAGAAGCACTTTATAACTACAAAAGAAGAAAACACTTCAAGTCAGAATTCTTCTGCAAAATTTGTAAACGTTATTTCGCAACTAAAGAAAATCTCGGGCAGCATGTCCGGAGGTACAAAGATACATACAGTACGGTCTGCGGAAAACATTAACAAGGAAAGATAATTTGGAGGAGCACATGCGGCCCCATATGGTTGAAAAATAAAAATAAACAAGTACACGAAGAAACAAGTCCGCAATTATGACAATTACTTTAAGAAAAAAGAAAAAAAATGATTGCGAACTTTCTGAAGCTCTGCGTGAAAGGAAGTGATCATTTAGATCATACAAAAAAAACAAGAGAAAAGATGAAATAATCTGCTTTTATTTATGCAGTTTTCAACGAGAACGCGTCATTTAAAACACATCAACAACAAACTTTACGTCCTCTTGTCAAGGCAGATCATCTTTCTACAAATATTACTATTGAATTTTGTACTTTGTTTGTAATTAATTTTGTAGTTAATTGAAATACATAAGTGCATTATTTCGTCTACTATAAAATTGAAATAATATTTCTTTTTGTGAAACACGATAAAACTTGATACAATATTAAAATTCCAAGCGACATGTAAGGTATTTGCAAACTAAGAATAACACCTGAAAATATATTTACCGCTCTTACGAAGAAAAGCCGATTCTGCGAAATTCGTTACCATTGTTGTAACTCACTTTGTAATATACACTAGATTTCTGTACTCGAAATATGCAGCATTTAGAAAATAATTTAAAGGACAATATATATATGCATATATATATATATATATATATATATATATATATATATATATATATATATATATAT